TATTCAAATCCCCTAGCACTTAAAACCCTAAAAGTAACTCCAAAAAAGAACAGCAAAAATTAATTTTGATTAAATCAAAACTTGTGATTCTCGTATTTCAACTTAACAACAATATAGTACTTTGCATTGATTCTAAACTCAAAAACATCTGAATAAAACTAAGAAAAGTGCATGAATTTATACAGTTTACCAAAGACTCCTATTGTAAAACTTAGATTGTATCCATCTTTGAGAAGTGACCTTGGGAAGAGTTTAAGAAAGAAGCAGACCTTTTTCGTGAGAGTAGAGAACAGATGTAGCAATGTCTACCAATTCTACTGTGTTTGCCTGAAAAACGAATGTAAAAGGTCACTATAACAAGTAAGAGCAACTGAGAAAGATGCTATCTTAAAAACGAAGACCAAACCTTTGGATAAACCCATCAGAGCCAGAGGTGTCAGAAGTTGATTCATTCTCGAAACAACAGTCGAGAAATTGGCACGAGAGTATAGTTGTAAGATTAGCGAGGAGTTCTCTACATTATACAATCTCAGATACTTCACAAACAGAAGAAGACTCATATCAATAAACAACAGATAACGGTTTGGATTTGAGATCTGAGAAGAGAGAAGCTTATGGAATATCAAGAAGAGAGAAGGAGATTCCTTGACTCTGGAGAGAATTTGAGCATAGATATGATTTGATAAGAATCAATCTGTCGATCTAAAAACATAAATATCTAATATATATATGGTTAGTGTTCTTAGTTTGCAATGTTCTTTTTCTGACATTCTAAGTAGTAAATAATAATGAAATTTCAAGTGTTAAATATATAAAATGTTTCAATAACTAATTATTTATTTTTTATTTTACAAATTGCTAATAAATTTGATAGATTTAAGGGAAAATTTGAAGGGTTTTTAGATTAAAAAACGGCCAAGATCCAAATCAAAAATTTACAAAAATATTTTGATATGTCCAAATCTTAAAAACTCGAAAGATTCAGATAGGCCTGGGCGTTCGGGTACCCGTTCGGGTTTGGATCAGGTATTTCGGATATCGGTTCTTTTTTGTAACACCTCTTAGGTCCCATTTTAAGAAATTCTTAAATTCGGATCGGGATCGGATATAACACATCGGTTTCGGTTCGGATTCGGATTATTCTGAAGTTACCATATATCATTTGGGTTCGGGTTTTACTGTATCGGGTTCGGATTAACTAAAGTAAACTTCAAAGAAAACAAATAAATAAACACTCATAAGTTGACTAGATAAGAACTAAGAAACATGTCTATCAAAATTAATAAACTCAAACTTAGTAAAAATGTTTGCAACAACACACCAATATCGATAATAGCAACATAAAGTTTTAAAATGGAAAACAAATTGAGACAAAACCGCAAACAGATTACTATGATTCATATGACACAGAAGACTCAGATTGAAAATCAAGCCCTTACCTCGGATTGAGTTCTTGAAATCAAAGATGGTGGAGGAGATATAGAGAATTGCATGTTTGTGTTTCTGAACATACTCTTCGATCAAACACCTTATTTTAATAGGAGATTATGTTTTTGAAACTAGGAAGACGAGGAATTGCCCCTAAGGTTATTATGAAAGGTGTGGTTGTGTCTAGACTTAGTTGTGTCTTAGAATTGAAAATAACAAAGCGTGGTTGTGCCTTCTTGGAAATTGTCAAAATCAAATAATGATTAATACGTGTATATACTTACTGTACATTATACATATAATCGGTTATTTCGGGTTTTAGTTCGGATATCGGATTAAACCGAACCCGAACCCAGTAACCAAAGTATCATCATATCAAACCCGATCGGGTATTTTGAAAGATCCATAACCGGTCGGGTTTGAGTTTTTCGGTTCGGATTCGGGTTCGGTTTCGGATTATGGATAATATGCCCAGGCCTAGATTCAGACATAATGGAAACCAATCAAAACTTAAACCGGATATTCAATGTCCATGCCTATTTTGGTTTTAATCAAAGTAAATTATAAACGAAAAAAAAACATGGATTCAATATAATTAAAAAATAAATTGGACAATATAATTATTATTATTTTTGACAAAGACAATATAATTATTTGAGAATCAAATAAAACGAGATAAAGCTAATCTATGCAAAAGGAAATTAAGCAAACAAACAACTCAAGAAAATAGGGAAACGGTGAGTATAAAGTGACACTTTTCATAATCTAAGATGAAATAGGAGTGACATAGGAAGATATACCTATTTCAAGTCAACTCAGGAACCCAACAAAAAAAAAAAAACAATTCCTAACAGTAAATGGAGTTAGAATCCACCGATGTCAACTATAAATAGAGATTAAGGTAAGCACTTCTTAATCAACACTCCCTAAAGATCCAAATAGAGCTAAGAGATTAGCTTACAAGCCACAATGGATATTAGGTACGAGGAGCCTCTATACGTGGACGAACTTTCATTGCAAACTGTTCGTGTTCTTGGCCAAGGAGCCTTCGGTTCCGTGACTCTCAAGGCTCACCCTGGCTATGGACTTTACGCTAAAAAAACATCTTCAATAAGACTCAAGGAAAATCTCAAGAAAGAGCTTAGGATCATGCTTAACTTCCGGAACCATCCTCGCATCGTTCAAGCCTCTAGTGAGCATCTTCACTTAGGTATGTTCCTCAAAGATTGCTACATATATATGGAGTATGCATCATTAGGTAGTCTAGAAGAAGTTATATCATCTTTCCGTGGGAAACCATTGCCTGAGCACGTGATTGGACGCACCACTCGTATGATCTTACAAGGACTTGAGGCTCTTCACTTAGACGGTTATGTTCACTGTGACCTCAAGCCGGATAACATACTCCTCTTCCCTTCAACCTCTTTTGGAGAGCCGTGGGATGCTAAGCTTGCTGACTTTGGTTTATCAAAGGAGCCTAATACATATTCTGTGTTGAAGTCTGCTGGTACGAATATGTATATGCCTCCGGAAGTTTCTGAGGATCCTGAGGGATTGATTGGACAGGCGCTTGATATATGGTCGTTAGGGTGTGTGGTGTTTGAGATGTTTGGAGGTAAGGCAATGGAGATGGCTACGGGAGTCACTTACGTGTGGCAGCTTGAGCAAGAGATCTCTCCTGTGGCTATAGACTTCTTGAGACAGTGCCATGCTTGGCATCCTTGGAATAGGGCTTCAGCAACTGAGCTTTTGAACCATCCTTTTATTATGCAAAGAGTCTCTGGTCGAATTTTACAGCCAATCTCAAGTCCTCCTGAAAAGAGACAGTACTTGGAACGTCCTTTGTTTGCATCAAGAGCCCGTGGTCCATTGCCAACTCCGATTGGTCCTAGAAGAAGACAAAAAGAAGCTCAAGGTTCGGTCGTGGAAGATCAATCAGCTGTGGAGAATAACGATGAGGCTAGTGAGGAATGGTTTATGTATGAGTTATGTAATAGTTGTTACGTTAAACATAGATACGGTTATGGTTGAGGTTGTATGTTTACTTGCTAGGCAATAAATCTTTATAGCGTTCTTTGTTTCTTTTAACTTATTGAAGTTTAAAGTTTGCTACTCTGTTTGATTACCTTGTGAGATTAAGGATGATTTATGTTTATAAAGGTAAAGTTTTCCAAATCATTTAAAAGCTGAAACCATTGTTCGTTATCATAACAAAGTGAAGATTACAATATCCAAATTAGCTACAAACCATTGTTTTACTTGAGCCTCTCCTTCCTAAGTCTTTCTAGCTCCAACACCATTTGCCAGTGCTCTAGTGAAAGCGTAGCCTCACCATACCTCACAGACATCATGCGAGCCATAGTCAACAATCTGCATAAACCGAACAAAACAAAANTTGTTCGTTATCATAACAAAGTGAAGATTACAATATCCAAATTAGCTACAAACCATTGTTTTACTTGAGCCTCTCCTTCCTAAGTCTTTCTAGCTCCAACACCATTTGCCAGTGCTCTAGTGAAAGCGTAGCCTCACCATACCTCACAGACATCATGCGAGCCATAGTCAACAATCTGCATAAACCGAACAAAACAAAATTGAAAGCTATTCCAAGTTTGATGAGAATAAAACTTAGTAAGGCTTTAGTACCTGCTCAAGTCTTGGCTACCTAAACTACGATCAGTTTGTCTTGCTGCAACCAAATCACTCTCCAATACCTGCAAGAAAATGAATTTAGTAGCTATAGTAGACTCAATAGTTTGTTGACACTATTGCCATAGATTCTAACACAAGACTCACTTGTTGCAATTCTTGCCCAATGGAGTGAGGTAAGGATTTGCAAGTAGCTAAGTAACACCTCCAAGCTTGTGCTGTTTCTTGTGTGATGACTTGCAATGGATTCACTTGAGAAGGTTGAAACGGTAGAACCATATCAGCAGGCATTATGTTTGATTTTCCCTCGGAGAAAATGAGCATCTGAGCAGCAGTGGCCATTTCCATTTTAAAATATTGAAAATCATACTCCACCTGAAATAGCACAAGCAGATTCCATAATTCATATCTGAAATCTGATCAAAGTGATGAGTGAATGAATGAATGAGATTGCTTTTACCTTTTGACATTCCAAGAGGTTTTTAAGCAGGTTTGCATTCTCAACTCCAACAGAATTCAAGGTTCCTGGTTGCAACTCTGTTTCATCCAATATCAAGTGTGTGCCATCAGCAACTTGTAGAACTCCAGGCACCAATCTGGTCATAAAAAAAAATTACATGATGGTATCTCAAGACAATGATGATTCAAAGCTCTGATGGATTCTTCTTACCTGTTGGTTCCATAGTCTTTCTTGGGACCAAGAGAAGCAGTGTTGAGATATTCAATAGTAAGTGGTATGGATTGCGTGAATGGCAGGAGGCTTTTGAGGGCATCTCTGAGCTGAGTACCGAAGATAGACATGCTTTCTTTATTAAGGTGCGTGAGGCTAAGTGAAAGCTTCCCAACAGCAACGTTGTCCACTCTTCCATGCACCTACACAGCAAAGGATTAGCAGATAATAGCTGACAAGAAGAAGAAAATATGTGATAAAATTTGAACCGAATAAGACCATGTACGCCAACTTGCCTCCATATTTAGATTTTGTGCTCGTTTTTTTTTTTTTTTTTTTGACAGAGTGAAAAATATTCGCCCATAAGACATTTTCTTCCTTACCTTTGAACTTTCTCATCTTCTTAGCTCTACTCCTCTTTCTCTCTTCCTGTGTAAGCGCTGACTCTTCCTTTATTTTGCCTGTCCCCAGAAATATTTCCTCTGGAGCAAGCATTGCTGCATCTGCCACTGCCACTGGTGCAACCTATACAAAAATACACATTGAAGAAAACGCTTACTGCAATGGTGCTCTTATCTCAATATCAAACAGACAAAAACAGTTGATAGTAAACAATAGAATTTACCTCTTCCAGTGGGAGAGAGAATTCAACTTCAGGTACAGTTTCTTGAATAACATGCTTGCCTGATTTCACATTTATAAATAAATAAATAACAAAAGGGAAACTGGAAGGGAGAAGATCCATAGGTAAACAAAACAAAAAAAAAAGGGCAGAAACAAATTTCAAGTGGGGACCTCTTTCTTTAGTTCGTCAGAGAAAGTTTCCGGAGCAAAAGAAGGATTAGACTTTTGAACTTATTCTTCCTGCAAATAGTGGACCAACACACATTTATAAGTTTGGTTCTCTCTCGATAACTTAAAACAAAGCAAATACTTTTATCTTGCGACAACAACAACAGTAGCAGAGTAATTGTTTTGGACGTCGTTAATTGTTATCAAAGGAAGAGGTTCCCTACGGTCTGTTAGGAATGTCCTAAAATCATTTATACTTACTCTTGTTTAAGTCGAAACGTCGAGATTTGACAATTATATAAAATTAGGTGGTTATAATGTTTTGCTAGAAACGGCTTATAATCTATAGATTGAGAATCTATTACTAATTTTATATGATCCTATAGGGTCACACACCTAAACAAATTGGATCAAAGATAATGAGTTCTAGGAATAATATATATATATATATATATATATATATATGATATATATTATAAGATATACATAAAGATGTATATACATGATAATGATAAGTAATTATCATTTGACCAAAGTGATTGTCACGTGCATGCATGGGCCTGGCCCTTTAATGAATTAGGTTAATCACTTGTTCATTACATAAACACTAGGTGTTTTGCCCGCCAAGCGGGCTTAAGTCTTTTATAATTATTTGTTAGTAAATATATTAATAATAAAAAATTAGAAGCATAAATTATTATTTTTGTTTTCATTTTGAATTTTTTTATTTATCTTAAAAATGATTCAATATTATCTTTTCAATTATATAAATTTAAGAATTTTAATTAATTAATATGTAATTTTTGTTTTCTGCTTTTGACTTTTTAAATATTTTATCAAAAGATAATTTTCGGATAACAATACAATATATAGGAATTATCTTTTAAAAATAAAATATATTTTTAGATTTTGGATAACTCTTATTGTTATTATTTAAAATAACTTATCTAATTAGATAAATTTAAATTCGTTTTTATATTTAATTAATTCATATAATTTATTCATTAAGGGTATAAACGATATTAACCGCTCTAACTTTTAACGTGGGAGTTCTGTTGCGAAAAATCACTTCGCAAATAATAGTATAGATAATATAATTTTTATATATCTTAATTTTAAGTTTCTAATAGGAAATATATTTTCAACATAACAACATAATACATAAGAATTATTTTTATTTTAGAAAAAAATAAAAAATTATTAATATAAATTCCTTTTAGCGATATAATAAATAAATAATCTTTATATCTTAATTTAAAATTTAAGTTTTATATATAAAATATATTTTAAGATAACAACATAATTCACAAGAATTATCTTATTTTAAAAAAATATGATATATGAATATCAATTCTTTTTATTTATAAATAAATTATATATAAATATTAAAAATATCATAAACAAATAAAAATACATAAACTTATGGAGAACATGACAACTAAGCAAATTTACTTCTTATATAATATTTAATTAATTCATATAATTTATTCATTAAGGGTATAAACGATATTAACCGTCCTAACTTTTAACGTGGGAGTTCTGTTGCGAAAAATCACTTCGCAAATAATAGTATAGATAATATAATTTTTATATATCCTAATTTTAAGTTTCTAATAGGAAATATATTTTCAACATAACAACATAATACATAAGAATATTTTAGAAAAATATAAAAAATTATTAATATAAATTCCTTTAAGCGATATAATAAATAAATATTCTTTATATATTAATTTAAAATTTAAGTTTTATATATAAAAATATATTTAAAGATAACAACATAATTCACAAGATTTATCTTATTTAAAAAAAATATGATATATGAATATAAATTCGTTTTATTTATAAATAAATTATATATAAATATTAAAATATCATAAGCAAATAAAAATACCTAAACTTATGGAGAACATGACAACTAAGCAAATTTACTTCTTAGATAATAGTATAGATTACTTTAATTATATATATAATTTTAGATATGTTATATTTAGTCTGTTTTATTATTTTTACGGTCGATTTAGTTATCATTTAGATATATTGGATTCTATCTATTTCTCTGAATTCAACTATTATCTTTTATATTTTAAAATATAAAATTTTTGATTAATTGTCTTATTTGCATTTATATTGTTTGTTTACAATAGTTAACATATTTTATAAATTCTAAATAAATTTATGATTTAGATTGTTTGGATGGTAAACTGAAATTTATTTTAAATAATTTTAAAATAAGGATTCTGATTTGCTTAAGTATTTGACTATGGTTATATTAAGTTTCAAAAATATAAAAACAAAATTAAAAATCAAAAGTTTATTAAGAAAACAGATAATTTTAACTATTAAAATATAATACATCTACCTCGTTAAATTATATAGTGTTATGGTATTTTAAAATAATTGTAGTTATTTTCTGTTTTTATGTTTGTGAAACTTAATATAACCATATTCAAAATACTTAAGTAAATCTGAATCCTTATTCTTAGAACATATAATTTTAACTATTAAGATATAATATATCTACCTCGTTAAATTATATAGTGTTATGATATTTTAAAATAACTGTAGTTACTTGATCAAAAGATGTTTATCATTAAATTTATTTTTAGTTTTATTTTTAGTATCTCTTAAAATATTCAGTAAAAAGTGATTGTTTTTGAGAAATTATACTATATAAGTAAAACAGAATTTATATTTTTACTGTAATTGTAACATATTATAGTCAAATAAATATACTAAAAATAATTTCAATAATACTAATTATAAAAAAAATGTCAGTTAAACATATATCAGTTTATCTTAGTTGATTATTTTATGTAATCATAATTATTTTGAATATATATATATATATATATATATATATATATTTTCTTTTTATTGTTTAAAATTATTTTTTAAGGAAAAAATATTTCTTTTTCTAATAGCAATATTTTTTGTGTGAATTTTTTTTTATGAAATCTCATTATGTACAGATATTGTTTTTTTATCTAAGAAGATATAGATATAAAGTATTTTATTACTTCAAAGGTATATTTTATGTTATTTAAAATATATTTAAATTAATTATTACTATTTTGTGAACTTTCCTTTTTTTTATTAAACCATATTATATATACTTATATTTTCGTGTTTAAATAGTTTTGTAAATTATATAAATGTTTCCTTTTTATTTTATATTGTTATTTGGAAATTTTTAAAAAGGAAATAATATTTAATTGTATTTTTAATTTATTAGGGGTATCATAGTAATCAACCAGCGTGAGAGTTAACGTGAGCGCGACACTTAAGAAAGTGACTTCTCAAATAATATTTTAGAGATATACGGTGATGGTTTTGTGAGATTATCACATCTCACGTAGACCCTAGAAGCTATAGAGACAAAGCGTTTGTCAAAGTTTTAAGATCTGATCTTGACGGCACTAGCATTCCGTTCTGATCCAGTTTGTGTGCGTGTGGATATCGGTAGAGGCACGACAATTGGAGTGCTCAAAATCTCGACTTGGTGTATTCATTTTTCCGCTGCGAATAACCAGGTATATTCGAAACCCTAAAGATCTAGATTTATTTCAGTATTAACATGAGATTCTAGGCTAATAAAATTCATAGGTTGTTTTATAAATCGTTATAAACCGGTATGAATTCCTATAGTGGTATCAGAGCTTGCTTGTTTGAATGCTGAAATTAAATCTTGTTAAATCTATAATTTGGTATAGATAGATGAATGATTCTAGTAATATTGATTACTTAAGATCGATACGCTCGCATGTTAAGAAAAACCTAATTTGATTACGGTACAAATAGTTTGATTTATATATTAGATATATAACCGGCTCATTAAATTACAGCAATAAGAAATAGCCAAACACGTATCTATAACATTATTTGAGAAGTAAATTTGCTTAGTTGTCAACTTCTCCATGATTTTAGATTATTTTGCTTATTTTCATGTTTAAATAATTTATTATATAATAAAAACGAATTTATGTTAATAATATTATATTTTTAGAAAATATGTTAATTCTTTTGTATTAGATTGTTATCTTAAAAATATATTTTTCAATTATTATTTTAGAAGTAATTTTGCTTATTTGTCAACTTCTCTATGATTTTAGGTTATTTTGCTTATTTTCATGTTTAAATAATCTATAACATTATTTAAGAAGTAAATTTGCTTAGTTGTCAACTTCTCCATGATTTTAGGTTATTTTGCTTATTTTCATGTTTAAATAATTTATTATATAATAAAAACGAATTTATGTTAATAATATTATATTTTTAGAAAATATGTTAATTCTTTTGTATTAGATTGTTATCTTAAAAATATATTTTCAATTATAAAATCTAAGTGAATTTGCTGATTAATTTGTAACTTTCTGTGATTTAAGTAATCTATACTATTATTTGTGAATGATTTTTTTGCAACAGAGTTCTCACGTTGAAAGTTAGAGCGGTTAATATCGTTTATATCCTTAATGAATAATTAAAAATTTTAATATAATTAAACATAAATAAAAAACGAATTTCAATGATTTTAGATTTATCTTTATCTAAAACTATTTTATATTGGGTTATAAAGTCTTTATTAACCTTGAAAAATAATTACATTAGTTAATATATAATTAATTATAAATTAAAAATGAATTTCATTTATTTGATAATTATCCTTATTTTAATTTTTTTTATATTATGTGATAAAGTCTTTATCAACCTTGAAAAATAATTATATTTGTTAACATATAATTAATTCTAAATTAAAAAATGAATCTCATGAATTTGATAATTATCTTTATCTAACTTTTTTTATATTGTGTTATAAAGTCTTTTTTTTTTAACATTGAAAAATAATTCTATTTGTTAATATATAGTTAATTATGAAAAATCAGTTCGCAAAGACTTTATGTATAGATAATTTATATTGTGTTATCCAAAACATTATTAAAGATAATTTTTTATACTTTTTTGTTATGTCTAAAAATGATATTAATTTATTACAAAATATTTTAAGTTTATGAGTATTTTCAAATATAAGTTGTGTAATGAAAATTATTTATATGATTATGAAAAATTTTATA